CAAGCTTAGCACACATACGCTGGGTTATCCATCTTAACCAAACTTAGTGCACATACGCAGGTTTATCCATCGTAACCAAACTTAGTGCACATACGCTGGGTTATAAATATTCAGAGGGTACTAAACTCATAACATCCATTCGAATATGGCAATATTTCATTTCTCCTTATATGAATAATAAAAATATCAATAGGCTTAGACAAATCCAGATGTCCTATGCGAATTGATGTATATAGAGCAAGCTTGGTTATAATACCCTTCGTTGTTCGATGAGAAATATGGTCGATTTAAGGCTAATATTATCAAACCCATTCAGTGACGAGCTCGTTTTTTTTTTATAAATTCGATATTTGAAAAAAAGCTATTTCATTAGATTTTGAACAAATTTAAAATGTTAACATTATTATTTATTTAAATATTTTTGTTACAGCCCCCCCCCCCTCAGGCAAAACTAAATAAATACAATTATGGAACTAGGGCCCCTCTTTCAACTTCAGTGTAATATTGTTACAGCAGTACATTTGCTTGTACAATTTTTGTGTTAGAAAAATAATTAAGTAGAACATTATTGTTAACACGTTTCATGTAGGATTTTAAATTTAAATCTAGACTGTTCTGAAATTTCGTTATTTTTCAACGAAGATATATAACGGGATCTGGAAGCTTTTTTGAAATATTAACAAGTTTTAACTGTAAACTGAATTCACCTGTAACGCGATCCCATCGTGTAACGGGATCAAACTGGTATCGATATCCTATCAGGAAACTGGATGCCATCAGAGGAGAGGATCCCTCCGATAAACTCGCCCCCCTCCGTAAATTGAGATAACCCCGGAACCAGCATCCATTTGGGGTCTGGCTCTCCAAGATTTTGGGATATCGACGAGATCTAGAACCCACTGGTATCGCGATCCCACCTACATCTAGATCCTACTGCGATCGGGATACCAATGGGATCATATTACCGATAGGATCGGGAACCCACCAGAATTCGGATCAAGAGGAATTGGAATAGAACAAGGAAACGGGATACTAACAAGAGCGACATTGAACTGGGATTTGGATTCTATCCGGAAATTAGATTCTACTAGTAGCGATATAGGGATCCAATCAGGATCGGGATCCCTCAGGGTACAGGGATGCATGCAAAAACGGATTTCGGAAAACGGGATCCGATTGGGATCTCTCTGAGATCGGGATCACTTGGGAAACGAAAGATTTACAAAAATTATTATAAATGTGTTGTTATAAGCGACAAATTATTATTATTTTTTTTTTAAATAGTGCTTAATTTCAATGTTCAATAAAAGGCAGCAGCAGTTGTTAGTTTGTCCAATTTAGTATCGGACCACGATGTGTATATTGGGTAGAATAGAATACATTAAATTGTGAACAAAAAAGGTTTTTAGTACAAAGTTAAAAACAATGCTTTTGATATTAAAAGAAATGCTAATATAAAAGTCATGCTAAACTATACACACACAAACAAAAAATTATGAACAAAAAAAATAAATAAACGTAGCATAATAAATTGCAAAGAAAACAATGAACATCATTTATATTCAAATTATGAAAAATGAAATGACACATTTTTTCATAGCATTAACAATGCTAACTATTTTTATAATACATTTGACTAAATTTGAAAAAAAATAATACATTATAGTAATCCCCATTATGAAACATATTAATACCCTGAAAAAAAATTACTTTATTATCTTTATAAATGAAGATTTATTTTCATATTTTGACATCTAAACTGCAGATGTTTTTAATTAATGACGTTTTAAAGTTGTCTTTGGTTGTTGTTGTTTGTTGTTTTTTTTTTTATTGTTTCTTAAATTTTTTTTTCTTTTTTTTTTTTTTTTTTTTTTTTTTTTTTTATTTTTTTTTAAATTTTTTTTTCTTTTTTTTTTTTTTTTTTTGTTTAGGGAAAATGTTGCTAGAGTCAGTAATAATTAGTTTGCCTTTTGTCTAACAAGTTAGAAAAAAAAATAGCGTCTTATGACGTTTTTCTGGAATAACGGTAGCGTGATTAAATGATCTTTTCTGGTTATGAGTCCAATTATATTATTTTTGAAGTGAAATGCTAACGTTTTATCTGATGGTTTACTTTACACTAAATAATTCTTTTTTTTTTTAAATTTTTTAATTTATTTTTTTTAATTTTCATATGTAGTATTAAGAATGTACTTGCTTTATAGAATCCACTAGGTCGTTATACATTTTAGAATTGAATATTTCTAACATTCTCTAAAGAAAATATTTTTTAGCGATGTTACCATTACAGCGTTGCCATACTAAATGATACATTTGTAAAACAAGTTTAACTCACGCGCAAGGTATGTTAAACAATGTTTTAAATATAAATGTAATTTTTACAAATTATAATAGAAAATAAAGAACGCATTTTAATGCTCACCAAAATCAGGAAAATTTAACTTCAATATTCGAGTAAATTATTAAACGTTGACATAAAATTTTGTATGTTTTACAAAACATAAGAGTTGGTCAAAGTAAACGTTTATATTTCGCAAATAAACAACAATCAATGCCACTTATTAAAAATATCAATAAACAACAATGAGACACAATTACCATATAAAAAAACTGCTATTGTTTTATAAAGTTTCATATTGATGAGTTTGACGATCGTAATGGACTTGTTTATGGCTTGTAGCGGGTCCATTGAGAATTGAAATGCATGGCATGTATCCATAATGCAGCTCATCTTTGTTAGTTCCTACATGTGTGTCCTTTACATGGCGATTAACGGCGACATTTGTTGTTTGATATGCAGGGGAGTATATGTTGTCTTGTTCTAATTCTATTTGTTCACGAGGTTTCATGATGACATTAGCTGGTTGGTAGCAATTGAAATCTATTTAATTTTAAAGAAACAAAAATTGTTTATTACATTAAGAGCCCACATTGCAATAGCATGCTGAATTGTTATACTTCATTGTTGCAAAGCAATTTGTAACACAAAATAATGTTAATTTATAATGCATTATGCATAATAAGCATTTTTTATTGTATTTTATTCACAAAACCATTTTCTATTAATTTGATCTTTAAATATTTATATAGGTATATCTTTTGTTTTAAATTTAAAAAAAAAAGATGTACTTTATCCAAAAAAATAACGTTAAATAATTACTAACATATACTTTGAATAATTAATATTTTAATCCTATTTGTAGTGTTTTCTAAGCAAAAAACGTACCCTTTCTTACGTCAAAGACATCAAACCTACATTCTCTTTTTTTGCACCAGAGGGAAATAGAGATCAATGATAGTATAATGGCTACCAAAGAAGCAATGGCAAAAACTATAGTGCTGTCATTGTTTGGAGTCACATTCTGGGCTGAAAAACATTTTTTTTTACTTTTGATTTAAAGGTGCATGTATACACATGAAATATCCAAATACCTTTTCAATTGATTGCATACACAATATCAGGACAAATGTAATCATAATTAACATTCTTTAAAGCTTATTCGCTAACATAAATTCTAAATATCAGCCACACCCAGCGCGATGAATGTTAATGATTTCTTTATCTTAAATATCCCTAGTGTATACAAATTGCTATATATATATATATATATATATATCACATAAAAACACTGATATTCTCACTAAGGTTAATATGTCATGCAATTTTCATATAAATAAAACCATCGCAAGATTTCTTAAAACACAGTTAGCTATAACCATGGGATTGCAAGGAAACGTAATTATACATTGTGTCATTCATTAATTCATATAAAAGTCTGAAAAAACCTAACCTCAATCATAGTTAATAAATTATGAGTGTGCTTAATTTATTGTTAGGAAATTAACATTAGCATTTTATGGTCCCGAAAGTTTCATAGATCACTCTGTCGTTTAAAAAAAAAACAAGAAAAAATCTCATTAAATTGAACAATTTTTGTTGTTGTTTTCAATTTAACCCACGCACGAATGTCGTTTTGTTCTGTGGTGGCCGAAAAAATCGGCCGAAAAATACATGATCTGAAAGCAACTTCCAATCCAATATTTAACCGGAATTATGGCCACTTCCTTTTATTAATTGTTAAATCATCTTCCGGTTCAAGCTGTTTCGTGGTAACGTGAAAATAAATACTTTTTTATCGCTGTTTTTAAAAAATCTAAAATGGGTAATACTATTGCTGGGACTCCAGTACAAGAACTAATAGAAATATGTTTGAAAGCTTTTTGGAGAGGTTTTAAGTGACACTGATGTTGATTTTAACATTCGTCATGACGATATCAGTTGATATTATTTTTTTCGTGAATTTTTTTACTAGTTTTAGTGATACTGAAGTAGGCCTACTGAGGCTACTGTTAGACTTCAAGCCAGGAATGGAGGTTGGGCAAGGACTGACTGAATTTTAGTCACATAATCTACAGATTACAGTTCAGAACAAATAAAATTTATACTTAAACAAACACAGTTCCTTTTTAAATGTTTACTAGTCAATAATAACTAATTTGCCTGAGATTTTGTATTCTGTACTTGGTTTTAGCAGTGGTCCCCAGTTTCTTATATAAATGAGCTAAAATTACTAAAATTACCTTCAGATGCTTAATTGCAATCAAAACCTTAGCAAACTATACATTTTCACAAAGATAAATGAATTGGCTACAACATTTAGATTTGTGTTTTAAGTGTATGTATAAAAATTAATGATGTTATGAGCACTTGAAAGCAAGAGATTTTGTCGATTTTTTTTTCTTGAGAATTCCAAGGTCAAGGAAACTGAGCAAAATTTTTTTTTACGGGGTAGGCAAAACTGCCAACTTTATCCCCATCCATTTACCTTTCTAAAAATATGTACTTAGTGGGGTGTTGTATCATTATTTCTATGTCATTTAATGCAATTTCAAATGTCCCCCAAAATTCTATGAAAAGCTCCACACCACAGAATAATGCATGCCCCAGTTCGTGTGCTAAACAGGACATTTTCCAACTTACCAATAATGAATGGTCTATAGTAGACACGTTTACTTGTCCATCCAATATTGTTTTGTGACTGGCAATAGTAGGCTGGTGTAAAATTATGAAATAAAATTAAGACGTATTATTACATGATCAGATTCCAAATGAAAATGCGAATGACAAATTAACGACATTTAAAAGAGATAGACATAAAGACTTTCGTTAATTAGATATAACAAACAAATATTTTAAAAAAGACCGCCCTGTGTATCTTGAGAGTCAGGGTGGAAAACACTGTTACTGTCTTGTATTTTCAGGAACGAAAACCTAAACATAAAGTAGTAATACATTAGTACCTCGGATGACTCTGGGCTTAAGTACCGAGCCACCCTGCAGCAAAATTCGAAGAAGGCTATTTTATGCCATTTGTATATTATATCAAGCTTTATGAACCCTTCAAACAACCTTAAATAATGTTGTATTATATCATTTTTATATTTTAGGATAGAAAATGCTTGTTTTAAAAAGTATAATGCATATCGCCAAAATCCCGAAAGTATCAAAAAATATGTTATGCTAAGAAAAAATCAAGTGAAGATTTCAGGACGCGAAATACCCAAAACGTGATGTAGCTAGATAACAATGTTTACTTAATTTATTTATTTTTTTTATTCCAACTAAAAAATGCCTATAGCCACAAGCGAGAAGACATTTTCCCCCCGATTCTATGTTTACTGTAATTAACGCTAAGGGAATCAAAGCTGGAACTAGTCGAACTTTGAACAGGTTCGCGAGCTTATTTGATTAATCTTTTTATTTGCCCATTTCCATCAGAACATAATACATCTTTCACGGTTCCACCTCTCCTCTTGTTGTCCTGTACTTTTCAGTGATGTCCTGAATTTCTGCATCGTAATGTGTAAAGGAAAACCCGGTTGTATCTTTTCTCAGTTTATTGGCTGTGTCTTTGTATACAATATTTTTCATGGGTTTTCTAAAATCGCGCATATTATAAAACCGTACTTTTTTATACCAATGCCCATAGAAGAGTGAAACAAAATAAATACAATTTTACATGACATTGTACCTGGTTGATTTAGGTGGGCAATGAATTCGTAAGTTTCATCTGCGACTCTTTCGTCATTGTCTGGGTGATACCACCCCAAAGACACATTAACAAAACTTGTATCGCCCCTCTCACATGTACAGTTCACTTTCTTTCCTTCTTCAATTGACTTTGGACATCTGGCTAGACTTACAACTGGCGTTTCTTTAAAAGATTAAACATAATTATACAGAGCATTTGCTACATAAAATACATTAAACGCTTTATGATAGACACAAAAAGTAGACATATACACAAACACTGTGTTAATATCTGATGACTATGGGTGTAGTTGAAAGACAATGACATAGAAAAATATGGAAATAATTCGAGCGATTATGTATATAAATGAACACAGTCATCACGTTATGATTGGCCAACCTACCCAGATAGAACGTTTTTGATGTGAACGTTCCATACATATCGATATCACTCACTTGTCCTGTCACATTTGCGTATATAGTGGCTTTAATGATATGCCCACCTAGCCCCATGCTAGTCGCATTAATGAATAAGGTACAACTGACAGAGAAGTACAGTATTTTATCGTGAAGCAGGCTTGCAGATGTTCTTATTATGGTATCCGACATCTGAAATGTAAATATCAAGTTAAAACTTTATCATACTGACAATAAATTAAGATTAAACAATGAGCATTACACACTTAAACAATAGACAAAAATACGTTTCATATATATTTAAGACACGATGGTATAATTAAAGATTCTTCTTTTGTTAAGTTTAACGGAATTTCTTGAGGTAGACAAGACTTACACAAACACACACAGAGTATGCGTGTGTGGGTTAAATGGTTGCACACTCACCAAAGTAAAATTAGCAGATACATGACAATGTCCCGATGGGAACACCCTTGGTGTTGAACATGACATTTCCAAACCATCCCTTACATTGACGTAGCTGCATTGTATACTTTTGGCGATCACTAAAAATAAAAAAAAAGGATAATTTACGTCGCCATTAAGTTATTTTGCTATCAATTTTGATGTTCCTTTTTTTTACATTGTATGCCTTATTTCGTTATCAGATTTTATTTATTATAATTATTATAATTTTTTTGATAATATATTTACTAATTATTATTTTTAATTTAAAAGAAAACGAAAAAAAACAAAAAAAAACAAAACATGTTTTAAGCTGACATTAATTATTTTGTTTTTATTTTGAGCTACTCACAAACTATTTTTGGGCTGCAGACATAGTTGTCAAATTCTGCTTGTCTCGTCGTTCGGGCAGAAAAATATACAGTTTGGTCAGGCCGTAGCCCTGCTCTTGTGATATTAAAGACAGTGACCTCAATAAAACACTGTCCAGGTATAATCTTTAACGCAACATCGTAAAGATTTGGATGGGTGGTACTGCAATTTCCAATAGCAGAACAACGTGCGACAGGGCCATGGAGTGAGTTTGTAACAATGATGTCACACGATTCCACTTGTTGCGCTTTCAAAGCTAATACTATTGTTGTTGATTTCCCTTCTTCAGCAGGTTCATTGCAAATCGAGGAGACATTGGATGAAGCTTAAATGAAAGAAAAGCACATATATTAATATACATATTCAATGCTTACACACACACACACACATATATATATATGTAAAACAATAATCATTTCCTTAATACAACAAAAATAGCTAATTAACTATTAACTTCTAGCTCAGCTTACACATTTATAAAGCCAATGAGTATAGCCTTTATTAAAAATGTATTTCTCTATTTTACATTTTGCAAATTTATCATAACAAAAACAGTGCATTGTCCCCTTTACATATTCATTAAAATCAAACAAACAAAAAATAAGTATAATGTTTCATTTTAGATTTGATTTCACTCACCATAAGCTGCATAGAACATGGTGCTCAGTAGTGTAGCAGTTGACCAAAATTGATGCTTTTGCCAGATCATTATTTTAAAAGGCCAACACACTTAATGTGCGGATTTAAAATAATAACGATATATTTTAACAGGTGGAGCTAAGAAGTTATTTATTAAAAATCACAATTATATTTGTAAAGTCAATAAAAACATGTGTATTCTTCTAAATAATACATATATATATAGACATATATATATTAAAGAAAACAGCAAAAACTGCACTATTGAAACATCATGAACACAATAAATTTAATGTATAATGTCGAAAGTCAGAATCAAAATACAGCTTTTATAAAAGATTGATTCGTAAAAAAACTTTAAATAAAACATTTATCAAATAAAGTAATCCCTCCTACACGTTTAGGATGTTGAAAGAAGGAAATGTTTGCAATGTCCTCTTAAATATATTTAGCTTATTGTGTACATAAATCAGGGTCTTAATAAACTAAGTTTGAATAAACATCATCAATATTTAACTTCTAATAGTTATCACTTCCTTGAACAAAAAGTCTGTGACTAATCTTTTCCGGAAATCTTAAATAAAAATAATAAAATTGCTTCTAAAATCAATATTTTCCTAACACAGACTAATATAACTGTAATAAGTGTTTGTGTACGTGTTCGTCTTAGTGGATGAGAAATTAGGTTCGTTATACAGCTTAGTCTCTTAGTGTTACGAGAACACAATTATGTCATCATATTCTCAATATTTTCTTTTCGGTTAATAGTCTTATAGTGTCCTGAATTAAGATAAGTTTGGTTAATTTTAATTCCGGTATTAAATTTGTTATAGCCACGTGCTCTTTACCAATAATTCTCGCCTCCTTGGGGTTGTTGAAGGAAGCCTCTGGGTAGACGAAAGACCCCAAAATTGTTGTACTTAAAAAAAAAATTAATGATAATTTTACTTTACGTTTATACATAAATATCAAATAACTGGGATTGTGGGGTATTCAGGACGTTGAAAAATTCGTACACTTCCCCCCCCCCGAGCTTGGGCGCCCGCAGGGGGGGGGTAAGGGGGCACTTGCATCCCCCTGCATTGATTGGATAAAAAAAATTTAGACACAAATAGACGAAAAATGTATAAAAGTAAAGAGAAAATAAAGAGAAAGTAACTAAGCTGATGTCCTGTCCGTTCATTCACCATACAAATAAGCTCCAGTAAATTAAAACTACATTCAAACATTACTATAATTGTGTTGCCCCCCCCCCCCCAAAAAAAGTTAATTCATTTTTTTTCCCCCCCCC